CTAACCATGTTATAGAATGTAACTAACCATGTTACAAAATGTAGCTAACCATGTTGTAGAATGTAGCTAACCATGTAATAGAATGCAGCTAACCATTTTCTGTCCCATTTTTTTTCTTGCACCAGTAAATCCATTGTTTGAGTATCTTATTGCTGTTTGTTTTACTCTGTTTAATTATCACATTCCTTGTCTAGCTACTTAACTCTGTTTAATCCCTTAACCATTTAACTCTTTATTAACTACTTTATTAACTACTCAACCACTTGACACTTTAACTGCTTACATTTTAATTCTTGTTTAACTACTTTATTTTTGGTGTCTGTGTTAATCAATGGATTGTTTAGTTAAGGTTTTTGGCTTCCATAAATTTGTTTGCTTGCTTAGTGAAATTCAAGAAGTGGTTTGGCCCTTTAAAAAAAAAACTTGCTTTTTTTTTTTGGCCTCACACTTGGTGATGCACATTTAACATTCAGGGGTCACTCCTGGCTCTGTACTCAGGAATTACTCCTGGCAGTGTTCAGGGGACCTTATGGGATGCTGGGATTCAAACTCAGGTTGGCCACATGCAAGGCAAACGCCCTACCTGCTGTGCTATTGCTCCAGCCCCAAACCCTTTTGTTTTATGCTCAGGGCTGCCTCTCTCATCCAGGCTGGGCTTGAGAGCAGCTGCTGGCCAGCTAGTAAATGTTTCTTGATTTGAGACAAAATTCTGACTTTGGGGAGCATTTGGGGGTGCCTAGCCTATAACAATAACCACTGGATGTGGACCAAACTCCTTCCCACCAAAAATAAAACTATCCCACCAAGAAAATTTTAGATTCTGATTTCACCAAATGACTTCACCGGTGAATATCTCATACAATTAGGAAAGAAATATTACCAATTCTATACAATCATTTTTAGAAAGTAGAGGAGGTAAGGAGATTCTTCTGAATGGATTTTGAAACCACTTGTATCAGGTCACACAGAAAAAGCCAAAAGATTTACATCAAGGAATGATAGACCACTATTCCATGTGAACATGGGTACAAAAATCTTGACCGAAAATTATAATCAAATTCAGTGATACACAAAAATGATCAAAGCAACATCAAATGGTGCTTGCCCTGAAAATGCATAATTGGCTTAACATTCAAAAGTCAATCATTTGAGTCATCACATTAACAGAATATAGTAGGAAACCATATAACCTCCTCAAAGGATGTGAAAAAATTTTGGACAGAATTCAATGCTCAATCGTGATATGAACACAGCAAAATAAAACAAGCAGGACTCTTAGTGAGCTAAAAACAGAAGGGAATCTTTCTCCATTGCAAATCTATGCAACTAATATCAAACTCATTGCAAAATATTCAGTACTTTCTACTGACGATCAGAATTTAATTTAAATGTCCCTATTAATCATTTCTTTGTAACAGATGGTCTTAGACAATGCAATAAGACAAGAAAAAAACAACACCAAGGCATAAATATTGAAAAGAGAAAAATAAAACTGCCTTATTTGTAAGGCACATATGTAGAAACCCCTAAGAAATCTACAAAAATATTACAAGAATAAGTGAATTCAGTAAGGTTATAGAATACAAGGTCATCACAGAAAAGTCAATTAAATTTCTATGTACCACAAAAAAGTCAATTAAATTTCTAAGAAACCATACATTAAAAAAAAAACTTCATTTAAGCAGAACAAAATTCTTTGGAAGAAATGTAATGGGTGTTAGTTTGTTTTAAAAACTATAAAAAGAAAACTATAATAGAGGCTAGAAAAATAGTACAGCAAGTAAGGTATTTCCCTGGCACACATTCAACCTGGGTTGATCTCCTGCATCCCCGAACCAGGAGTGATCCCTGAGTGCAGAGCCAGGAGTGAGCCCTGAGCACTGATAGTGTGGCCCAAAGCCAACCAAACAACAAAACCATAATAAATATTTGCAAAGGGAAATGAAATAAAACCTATTATTGTAATGAGTTATCAAGTTTATAGATTAAATGTAGCACTGTAACACTGTAGGACTGTTCTCCCATTGTTCATTGATTTGCTTGAGCGGGCACCAGTAACATTTCCATTGTGAGACTTGTTGTTACTGTGTTTGGCATATCGAATACACCCCGGGGAGCTTGCCAGGCTCTGCTGCCATGTGGGCGGGATACTCTCGGTAGCTTGCCAAACTTTCTGAGAGGGACAGAGGAATCCAACCCGGGTCGGCCATGTGCAAGGCTAAATATAATCCTAATAAAATCCTTACAGTATTTTTTTTTTTAATGACAATCTGCAATTTTGGTTTGTTGACCCACACCCAGCAGTGTTTAGGACTTACTCCTGGCTCTGAGCTCAGGACCTTGAGAGCTTGTTTGGAGGTTCTAGCAGGGGAACGCAGCTACTTGTATACACTCAGCCAAAGACAGGTCTGTCTCTCTTTGGGGAAGGCGGTCCTCTTTGACTGAGTGCGCAGCTTTGGGAGGGATGCACAAGGAGCCGTGAGGGAGAAAGGGGAGCCCCGCCTAACCAGCCAGGTCAGCCGAATCAAACCTGGCAATCAATGGGGTGACAGATGTCGCAGCCAGATCACCCTCACATCCCGCACGGCAGAGCCTGGCAAGGTCCCCATGGCGTATTCGATATGCCAAAAACAATAACAACAAGTCTCACAATGGAGACGTTATTGGTGCCCGCTTGAGCAATTGATGAACAACGGGAGGACAGTGCTACAGTGCTGAGCTCAGAGATCACTCCTGGCAGGCTTGGGGGACCCTATGGATTGCCAGGGATTAAACGCGGGTTGGATGCATGCAAGACCAACACCCTACCCACTGTACTCTTGCTCCAGTCTACTTGACAATCTACTTTCAAAGCTTTATATAGGAACACTGGGCAGGAGCTGGAGCAACAGTACAGTCAGTAGGGCACTTGCCTCGCACATGGCTGACCTGGGTCCCACCCCTGCCACCTCCTATGTTCCCCTGAGTCCCACCAGGGGTGATACCTGAGCATCACTGGGCATGGCCCCCAACAAAACCCCAAAACAACAATAACAGCAAAATAGTTTAACTTAAACAACTTTGCAAAAATATTTATAAGGGCCAAGAGATGGTTTTTCTTTTTTTTTTTTTCCTTTTGGGCCACATCCAGCGATGCACAGGGGTTACTCCTGGCTCATGCACTCAGGAATTACTCCTGGCAGTGCTCGGGGGACCATATGGGATGCTGGAAATCGAACCCAGGTTGGCTGCATGCAAGGCAAACAACCTACCCACTGTCCTATCACTCCAGCCCCAAGGAGTGGTTTTTCTAAGGACTGAAACATCAGTTTATCCACAGTGCAAGCTGAGTAGCCATCCCAGCACGGCCGCGTGTCTCCAAACCCAAACCTCTCCAAATACTTACACTAGAAGAATTCAACTAAAAGAAATACGACCCAGGGAACTGGGGAGGGGGCAGGAGGCAGGGCAGGGCTGGAGGACCCCAGAACTTGGACCCAGTACTGTTCCATGTGCCTGAACCCAGCCCAGCGCCTCTGCTCTTGGGGTGCCAAAAACCACGGCAGAGCGTCGTGGTCTCTGCACTGTGCAGTTGGCAACGTGGTGAGATGCCTGGGAACCCACATTTCTTACAGAACCGCCTTTCTTTTTTTCCTAAATATGTTTTCAGGAGTCACACCCAGCGATGCTCAGGAATCACTCCTGGCGGTGCCTGGGGACCCTTTGGGATGCCGGGGATTGAACCCAGGTTGGCTGCGTGCAAGGCAAGCGCCCTCCTCACTGTGATGTGGCTCCAGCCCCCACAGAACAGCGTTTCTTTCTTTCTCTGTAAGATGCAGCCTTTGAAAGCAAAGAAAGTCAAGAATTCTGGGCCAACCGTGGCTGCCACGGGTCGGTTCTTGGCTAGGCCACCTGCTAAATGAGGGACTTTGGGGTGATTCCCCTCTCCTGTGCCTCAGTTGCCTCCTGTGCAAAGTGGACAGAATGAGGGTAGACTTGCGAGGGTGGCCGTGAAGCCGCCGTCAGCTGAGGCGCATCAGAGGCGCGTGCACTGACCACACTGCGCCTGGGGTGGATGCCCCATCCTGCGGCCGCTGGCGTACTTCTGGCCTTTGGTTCAGGCCACTTTGATTGGTCAGGCTGTGGCCAAGTGTCCAATCAGATTCGACCAAAGGGGTGGAGTCAAAGCACAAAGCTAGCGGCTTTGGGCTCTAGTTTGTGGACCCGCCCCAGGGGAACCTAGGGCAGGACTCCCTCCAAAATGCTCCCAGAGACCCGCGTCTGTACTTCTCCGGGATTCCTCTTTCCCAGAGGAGGCTGCCTGGGCACTGGGCGGAGCGTGCTTGCTTGACGTGCTGGAGGCCGGGTTGTTGTGTGTATTTTTGTTTGGGGGTGAAACCTGACATCTCAGGTCGGCCATTTAGGGTGCTGGGATTCCCCCTGGCCTTGGCTACCTGCGAGCAAGTGCTTCAATCCCTACCTACGTCTCTGGCCCCAGGAGTGCTGAATTCCCCCTGACACAGCAGTTCCTCAAGCATCACCTTGGGCACCAATGGGGGCATCCCCCCACCATTCTTGGCACATTAGAGTGTGGTTCCCCCCAAAAAAAACCTAAGCGAAGTTCTGGCTGCTTTCAGGCCACCAGGCACGGTGGGGGGCCAGTGTGCCAGTCATGGCCCTCTCCCCGTCACCTTGCTGGTCCCTGCACCCTCCCTGCCTTCCCAGAACTCACGAGCCCCAGGGATAACGTCCTAGCTTGGGAGCAACCCCCCAGGCTGCTGATTCAAGAGCACTTTAGCAGTCCTTTTTTTTTTTTTTTAACTGGAAGAGAGAGGGTCTTTCCTGCAGAAAAACAGGTTCCCTGGCAAAAGGTGGCCTTCGGAAGCACTTAAACAGGAGAACACAAAGGTTGGTCTAAGAAAAGCATGATTGACAAGACACACATTAGTCTGACTGCAGTGCAAGAGGGTCCCCATGGGCCCCATCCCAATGCAGAAATAAACAAAGGATCCACATATCTTTGTGTGTTTTTTTTTATTGTCATTTTTACAGCTCACCCTTGTAGCTGCCCCCAACATCTCCCTTCCTGTTTTGCAGGCTCAAGGAGATTGGGGGAACAAAGATGGGGTCTGGCCCCCTCCCCCAACCCCACCCCAGACCTCCAGGCTGGAGGAGAAGTCACAATTACAAATGATCACAACAATTAGCGCCGGGGCTCGGGAGATCGCGAGAGAGCGGGGTCCCAGCTTTGCGCTGTCTGAGGGGCTGTTTACTTGGCCTTGCTCTGGACGCGATGGAACTCCTTGAGCCTGTAACCCAGATTCAAAACAAAGACCAACATAAACTCCCAACGTTCGCATGCCTGCAGTTGACCAGCGCGGCCGGAGCTGGGGTGGGGTGGGGGGGCCAGGGTTGGGGAGATGGCGTGGAGGTACTTCTTTTCTCCCTTCCTCTATTCCTGTCCCCTGCGACCAGGACAGCGTCATTCATTTACCTTGGAGGGTGGAGGTGGGGGTGCAGGCAGGGTCATTGTAGAAGACAAAGCATTTCATTGGCAATGGGAGACGTGAAGAGGCCATTAGAAAAACCTGGTGTTTTGGAGCTGCTTAAAAGGGTTTATAGGTGCATATGCTGCTGCCTGAGCACATGTGTCGCCCGCATCTCCCCTCTTGAGATGTGTACTTTCATGTTTTCACGTCTAATGCTGAGATGTGAGTGAGGGCTCTCTCTGCCCTTGGAGAAGCCCGGGCCCCTTTTTGAGTCGGTTACTCTCCACTCTCTCCCACTTTATCTCCCTCCTTCCCTTCAAAACTTCCAAATAAAAACTGTGTAAAGGTAAAGGTAAAGGCCCTCCCGTTGATCATCGATTTGCTCGAGCGGGCCCAGTAACGTCTCCATTGGAGACTTTGTTGTTACTGTGTCTGGCATATCGAATACTCTCGGTAGCTTGCCGGGCTCTCCGAGAGGGGCGGAGGAATCGAACTCGGGTCGGCCATGTTGGCTGCGTGCAAGGCAAACGCCCTACCGCTGTGCTATCGCTCCAGCCCCAAAAACTGTGTAATTTCAAAAAAAAAAATAAAGGTTTGTAGCAAGTAGGCGGGGTCGGGGGTGTGGTGGGCCACGCTCGTGCCCAGGTGGGCGGCATGGTGAGCTTCGGGGTCTGTCCAGACTTGGTTCTGGGACTAGTGTCCAGGTCATGTGGTCAGGGAGAGAAGAGAAGGAAGCTGGGGAGTGAGTGATGGTTTGGGTGGAGGGGGTGTGGAGGCGCTTCTGAGCGTGGCCCCATGGCTTCCCGCTGAGTGGCTATGGGCCACTCTTTGAGCTGGACTCTGCTCTGCCTTCCAGGGGGCACTCTGGGGCATGAATGAAATGGGACAAAGTGAGGACAGTGCCTGCAAGTTGCAGAGTCTCCAGTAGCGGCTAGCAAGGCAGGAAGCCCCCCACACCCAGGAGCTCCCTCACCCGGAGGGATGCCGCGGTGTGGGGCCAGGATTGGGAGTGACTTCAGACGACACATGCCACCTCCCGGGGCCATGGGGAGCCACGTGGCCAGCTGGATGCCCAAATGGCCCTGTTCTTAGTGACACTGTCCTGGAGGCCGGGCTGGCCAGGCCACACCCTGCTCCCTTGAGCTGCTTCCCCCCGTTTTGGGGGGATAGGGGGCACCTTCAGTGGTGTGCATGGCTTACTCCTGGCTCTGTGCTCAGGGATCACTCCCGGCAGATTTGGGGGACCATACAGTGTGCCAGGATGGCACATGGGTCTGCCGCATGCCAGGCAAGTGCCCTCCCAAGCTGGAGGGGACATGGTGGGAGCTGCAGGCTCTGAAACTGCCAGTCACTTCCTGCTGGCCACACTGAGGAGGGCAGTGGACGGAGGCTCGTGGGGAGGGACGGCAGGGGGCTCTGGGCTGTGGAGATCCCCTCCAGGCCTGCCCCACCTCCACCCCCGGCTCCAGGGCGCCTCACCTGAGGGAGTTGATGTTGATGAAGCCGGTGGCGTCGATGGGCTCGTACTCACCCTGGACGTTCATGCTGTAAGGACAGAGGGGCCTGGTCAGCACCCGGGGCCCGGGCCCGCCACCAGCCCAGAGCAGCCGGATTCCCTGACGGTGTTGACACCGGGAGGGTTCCCGAGATTCAAGATTTGGCCTCAGTCACCATTTCCCCGCCCCCCTGTGCCCCATGACAGAGGCCCCAGACAACACATCCTTTCGGGAGCCCCACCCCGGTGGTCACCCCCCATCGCGGGCCAGCAAGTGGGGCTCCAGGGTCCACCCCAACCCCCCCAGGGCTGAGCTTCTCTCACTCGCTCAGAGTCTCCAGGGAAACCTTGGACTCTGTCTCCACCATCATTCATTCATTCATTCATTCAGGTGTTCCTGAGGCACCTCTGACCCCTGCAGGAGCCCCAGGGCGCGGGGGGGGGGGGGAGTAGGGGTGGGGGTGCACAGGCAGAAGCAATCCATCTCCCATCTGCCCCAGACTCAGCCGGGTGGCTCTTCCAGGACAAGCCTGTGGTTGCAGCTCAGACGCCAGTCTGGGGGGGGGGTCCCCTCTGGCCGCTTCCCACCCTAAATCAGCCCCTGTCTCCATGGGCTGGAGCCCCCAGCCTCAGCACAAAGCCGTCTCAAGGTTCAAGTGACAAGGCAGTGGCCTGTCCCGGCAGGAGCCTCTTCCTAGAGGTGAGCCAGGGAGGGAGGGCCAGGCCCCAGCAGCCCGGGGACACTTGACGATGCCCCCCCGCCCTCAAGTTGCTGAGGACGGTGCTCTCATTCCCTTTCTCTGACCTCCCAGGTCCTGAGAGCTGGCGCAGTGCACCCCCCCTGCGCCCAACACCCCTTAGCCCTGCAGGCTGGGCCTCGGGTCCCGCAGACCCTGGGACACATCAGCAAGGGGCTGACGGGGACTCGGGAGAGCAGAGACAGTCCCTGTCCCCGGGGATCCCCCCGAAAGCACCAGCACCCTGGAGTGAGTGAGAAGTGGCTCGAGCCGGCACCAACCACCCTCCCGCACAGACCCAGCTCGGGGGTCCTTTGGAAGGGTCTCTGCCCGGGGCTCTCGGCAGAATCCCCAGCCCACCCCCCCAAATCAGCGACTGCACTGGCCCCTTTCCCACCGTCTCTCACGTGTCCAAACAAACCCGCACCCCCGGGCCCCCACGCCGAGATCCCTCCCCCGCCCCCGGCCCCCCACCCCCCGCCCCGTCCCGTGTAGCCACCCAAGAGTTCCGGGGCATGTTTCTTCAGAACTAAAAATCCTCTTTTCAAAAAAAAGCGTGGTGTGTTTGGGGCGGGAGGGGGGTGGAAAAAGAGTTTCCAATGATTCTCCCTCCCCTGACGGCCCGCAGCAAACCTCTGTGCTTTTATTTTTGCTCATTGGAGTGGCTCTGACCTGCTCTATAATTACGTTACTTTCTACCCACTGCGTGCGCCATTTCCACTCCTGCTCCCTCGCGCGGCCCCCTCGCTGGTCCCCGCGAGGCTGTCACTCAAGGCCTTTCAAGCCAGCGATGTAGAAATCAAAAAGAAAAGGGAAATGGTCGGAGACACAGTGAGAATAAATGCTCCTGCTTTTCTCTCTTTTTTTCCCCGTTCCCTTTTTACTTTATTCATTTAATCTCCCCGAGTGCGACTGTAAGGCTTAATGAGGGGTTGGGCGCATTATTAGCGACTGTTGATTTGAAGGGGGAGGGAGGAGAGAGCCCGAGAGAGAAAGAGAGAAGATAATTTGACATTTACCCCGACTGATCCAAACTGATTCGGTTATATTTATGGCTTATAAAGTGTTTAGAAAGATTGAGGGGGTGGGGGGCACTCAACGTGGCAGAGAGACGGCCAGGAAGAAAATAACGCTGACTCCAGCCAGGACTGGCGCCGAGCGCCCGCACGCCTGGCGCAGGGATGCCGGGCCGGTTCTCGGGCCGGGCAGGTGCTGCAGCCTCGCCCTCGGCCCCAGCCCCAGGGTGCCGCTGCCTGCCCAGCCACTCTCCTCCTCCTCCTCCTCCTGGCTTTCGGGAAGGGAAGGACCTTCGTCACCCAGAGGGACACGGGGCTGCAGCCCCCCAGTGCGAGGCATCCCGGAGAACTCGGACGTGCTGGTGTCTCTCAGAGGGAAGGGCCCCACGGTGCCCGCGTCCACACACATCTTGTTTCCTCCAGAACCTTCCCGAGGCTCAGGGAGGGCCCCTCGGGGGCCTGGGCCCTTCCACCTTCTGACACGAACCCTGACATGCCACCTCCGGAATACTGATCAAGCCCACCTGCTCCTCACCACGCCCAGGCTGCACACCGGGGTCCAGCCCCCACCATGGGTCACGGGCCATGAGTCACAAGCCACGGACTATGAGCCACGAGCCATGGGCTCCAAGCGCCCGGCCCCCACCTCTTTCCAATTCTGTCTCCAGACCCTCGGGATGCACGATCTAACCAGCCACCTTCTTGAGGACCCCGCACTGGGCCCCACTGTTCTTGGAGCTTCTGGAACCTTCTGGGCTCTCCGGCACCTGACAGCCCCCGAGAAACTCTCTGTGACCCCTTAAGGAGAACTGCCTCCTGGAAGCTTCTCCGCAGCCCGGTTGCGATGCCCGCCAGGCCTCCTCGAGGCCAGGGGCCGCTTCCTGGCCCCAACCCGGGGCACAGCATGGGAGGGGGCGCCGCGTTGGGAGGGGGCGCCGCATTGGGGGGGCACCTACCTCACCAGCTCCTCGTTGTACAGGGACAGCGGCGACTCGCGGCCCAGGATGTACACTTGGCCCTTGAACACCTGCACCTGCACCTTGCCCTCTACGCGCTCCTGGGACTTGGCGATGCAGTGGCGGACGAACTCGCACTCGGGGCTGTGCCAGAAGCCTGCGTGGGGGACAGCGGGGTTCCCATGAGCCAGGGTGGGGGGCCCGGGGGGCCTGGTGGGCTGCGTGTGGTGGGGAGGGGTGTCTGTCTCTGTCCCTGGGGCGCGGCCACCTCCCAAGGGCCAGGAGGAGAGGAGGGGGCCTCGGGGGAGCACTTGGGTGGCGTGAAGTCGGGAGTCACCTCCCCGCCTGCGGAGGGGGTGCGGCTGCCCCCCACATCCACACTGCCTGGAAGAACCCCCAGTCTCTCCTGTCAGGGGGAGGCGGGGGAGGTTTGGGAAATGGGAACACCAATGTCACAGCAGTTATGGGGGCTGGAATGTGACCCCTGGAGTCCACCTGGGAAGCGCCTGGGGGGTGCGCTGGGAAACGCACCCCTCCCGGCCTGTCCTGAGCCTGACCTCTCACCCTCGCTGCCGGGGCACGGGTCAGGTTTCCTGAGGAGCTCCAGGAAGGTGAGCTACCTGGGCAGCTGGGGGCCAGATGGTGCCAGATGTCCCCGCTAAGGGTCAGGTCAGCTCTGCGGCTATTGTAGGAGCCAGACGCCCGTGGGGGCACCTGGGAAGGGGCTCTGTGGGAAAGGGGGGCTGCACCCGCCAGCCATAGCCACCACCCCCACCCCCGCCTCGGCCCTGTGCAGGATAATTAACCCCTCCCCTGGGCTTTGGGGGGCTTGATAGGCAGAGCCCCGGGTGTTCTGTGCTTGGTTTAAAGCTCAGGGATGCCCCGGCCCCTCACTGCATTTGGGGAGACGGCCCCCCTCCCCCAGGAGAGCATGTCCTGAGTCTGACCCCTGACCGACAGGGCCCCAGACTCCCCGCGAGTGAGGATGCTGGTGAACCGCATCCCGCCAGGCCCTGCCATCCCTCAGATGGACTTGGGGGACCAGAGCACTGAGTCCCCCGGCCAGAGATGGAGCCAGAGAAGGGCGCCCCCACCCTATCCCAGCCCAATCCACCTCCCTTCCCCTCGACTTTCCCAGCACACCAGGCCTGGGGCGGAAGCAGCGGGCTGGCATGCCATGGGGTGACCTGGGCCATGGCTGCGCTGTGGGTGGGGCCAGGCAGCCCCCTCCCTGCTCCTGGGGCCAGGAGTGGTGGCTCACTCACTGAGCACTGGCCGTCCTGAGCAATGGCCTGGACCACCTCAGATGTGGAGACTGAGGCACAGAGAAACACAGTCAAGCTAGTCCCTATGCGGCGGGAGCCCCGCCGAGGTCTGATTTCCTTGAAAGCACATCACTGCATCTGGGGGTCTTGGGACAGGACCGTCCCCAGAGTCCGTGCCGCCCGTCCCCCTGACCTGCCGAGCTGCTCTCAGTTCACGGCCCCGTGTCCCCCTCAGCCCTGGGATCTGGACAAGCCTCTGCTTCCTGGCACCGGCCCAGCCTGGTTCCCCCACCCGCCCCAGCACGGTGCTTGCAGTGACTCTGGAATCCCCAGGCCTGTGCTGGGATCCGCTGAGAGGGGGCACATCAGGTGACAATGGCATTCACGCACCTGCCCGCACCTGGGCGGGGGCACCACTGGGGACGATGAGGGCAGCAGTGACACCAGCCAATACCAGAGTCCCGGAGTCCCCCCAAGGGGAGCCCCCCCCGCAAGGAGGAGCTCTGCACAAGAACCAAATCTCAGCCTCCCCCCAGCAGCTTGGCAGTGGCGCCTGTTTCTCAGGTGAGGAAGATGAGGGGCGGCAGAGAGGTGGTGCTGGCACCAGGATTCTGCCTGCCCCAGAGCGTATGTCGGAGGGCTGCACCCCCGGCACACTCTGGCCATGGCCGGACATGGAGCTGCCCGCTGCTCTCCTTTCCAGCTATGGGGGGACGGCACCCGCCCTGCTTGCGGCCAGCTAGGGTTCGATCTCGGAGCCCCACAGGGCCCCCTGAGCCCTGCCTGGGGTCAGCCCTGAGCACAGAGCCGGGAGTGAGTCCTGAGCACAGAGCCAGGAGTCAGCCCTGAGCACAGAGCCTGGGGTCAACCCTGAGCACTGAGCCAGGAGTCATCCCTGAGCACAGAGCCAGGACTCACCCCTGAGCACTGCCAGGTGCACCTCCTGTGACCCCGCTCCACACAATAAAACAGTAAATATTAGTTTCAACTCCTGGACCAAACAGAACTAGACACGGGGCCAGATTTGGGGAGCCCCCACCCCGTTCTACAAGGGGAAGGTAGGTGGGTGTGGCTCAGGAGACCTGACCGCGGCACTGCTGGGCCTTCTGTGATACTTCCCAGGGCTGCCTGCCCCACGGCCCCCAAAACTCCCTGGCCTCTGGGACTCCCAAGAGCTGGGCAGGGTCCCCAGGGGTCAGATGAAGGAGGGGGCCGGGGCACCGAGGAGACCTTCTCTGAAAGCCCTGATACCCCTCCCTTACTCATCCCTGCCCGGGTCCCGGACAGGGCTGGCGGGCGGGTGGGGAATGGGGGATGCTGGGCAGGGTGCCCGAGAGCTGGGGGTTGGGGGGGATACTGGGCAGGGAGTCCCGGGGGGGGATGGGGGCTGGGGCAGGGCGGCGGAGGGGCGGCGCGGGACCACGCACCCGTGTAGACCAGCTCGGCGAATTTCAGGCCGAGGCCCTGCTTGATCTTGCGCACCTCGCGGTCCATGGTGAAGGCCTCAATGTCCAGGTGTGCGTGGTACAGGATGGTCCCCGCGGGGGTCTCGTAGATACCTAGCCATTTTTCCAGGCAGGGGGACAAGGAGGAAAAAGAGAGAGAGAGAGAGAGAGAGAGAGAGAGAGAGAGAGACGCGTGAAACCCAAACTGTCAGCAAATGACAAAAAGGGAAAAAAAAAAAAACTACTAATAACGGCACTCCTGACAGGAGCCGCCCGGGCCATTCAGGCCCAGCTTGCCGCCGAGCTCGCTGTCATTACGCGCACGCTGGGGCCACTACAGTCCACTCTGCGGCTTGCGGAGAAAATGTCTAGATGCCCCCCTTTGAAGAGGCCCTCAGGCGCTGGGAAATGACAGGGTTTCGGCGCTGCGCCCCCTCCCCCCCCACGCGTGCCCACCGGCCCGCGCCTGAAAACCTGTAATTAAACCGACGTCGATGGAGCCCGGCATCTCGGCGATCCCTTCCTCCCGCCCGCCCGGGAGTCAGGGGCTGCACACACATGTCCACATGCACACATGTGCACGCGCACACACACACACACACACACACACACGCACGCACACCGCCCCGGGCCCGCCGAGAAACAAGAGTCCTGGGCAGGCTGGAGGCCAGTGGGCTCCCCCCGGAGGACTGGCCTACGGTGGACCTGAAGCTGAGTCTGGGGGTGCCTGACTGGGGCCTCTGCAGCTGACCAGGCCAAAGAGGACCCCGACTTCCTCCTAGCAGCTCAGACCCGGCCTCTGTCCACCAAGCACCGGGGCTGGCCCGCGGGCTCAGGAAGGGCCGCGGGTGCAAGGGGGTGGTCAGCGGTGCTGCGTGTGCACAGCTGGACTCCCCGGGACCCGGGCAAGCCGCTCAGCCCTGCCCTGCACGTCCTTCCTGCCTGCCCCCCAGAGCCTGGCATCAAGGGGTGAGGTATCACTGAGGCTGAAAACGCACCATCTCCCCCCACTGATACTTCCTAACACCCACCCCCTCCTCGCCCTGTGGACCGGGGGTCCCTGCAGCCCCCCACAATGCCCGCCCACACAGGAAGAGCCACTCTGCAGGGCACCGCCGGCCATAGGTGTTAGCCCAGCTGGGCGGGGACAGAGCGGGGGTGGGAGGGCGGAGAGGCAGGTGGAGTGGGGTCCCTGCACCCCCACAGCCGCTCAACTGCCAGGCCTACTTCACCAGGATTTTCAAAATGCTAAAGCAAACACCAACCAAAAGGGCTGGAGCAATAGTCTGGTGGACGACAGCGTTGGTCTAGCATGCAGCTGACCCAGGTTTGATCCCTGGCATCCCATATGGCTGAGTTCTACCAGGAGTAATTCCTGAACACAAGCCAGGAGGAACCCCTGAGCACTGCTGGGTGTGGCCCAAACACTAAAAAAAGTTCTTTCAGAACCTAGGTCTGGGGGTGGGTTGGGGGACAGACACCCCCTCCCGTGAGAGCCTCTGGTCTGGGAGTCGGGAGCTACAGGAATGTCTGGGCCCCAGGAATGCCTCTGGGCAGCATCCGCTCATCTGACAGGGGGCCCAGAGCCGGTGAGGCCCCTCCCCACTGGGGGGGTGGTGTCCACGAAGGGGCAGAGGGCAGCCCTGTCAGCCCAGCCAGAGCCCAGGCTCGGGTTGGTCACAGCCTCCCTGGGAAGACAACACCCTGGTCCCCAGGCTGACGTGGGAAACCCAACCCGAGCTTCTGGGGGTGCCCTGACCAGCCCCAAAGGCAGTTCGACCCTCCCCCCTTCCCAGGGTGCCTGAGGAGACACGGAAATGGGGGTGGGGGTGGCCGAGGGCAGACTCCCGAGCTACTGAGAACACTGATAGACGGAGCTGCTCTGCCGAGACCAGGCTGTGACCCTGGGCCCCAGAAAAAGGCCCAGACATTAGCGTCTGTTCACAGAGGCACACGAGGGGCCGGGGGGTTACGGGCACAGAGAACCTCAGAGTTCTTGACCACCCAAGGAACAACAACCAAGATTCAGAGAATATCCTATGGATCCCAGCAAGTCAGGGGCCAGCCACGGAAGACAGGGGCTGACCATGGAAGGCAGGGGCCGGCCACAGAAGACAGATGTTGACCACAGAAATCAGGGGCTGACCACGGAAGACAGGGACTGGCCACGGAAGACAGATGTTGACCACAGAAATCAGGGGCTGACCACGGAAGTCAGGGGCTGGCCACGGAACAGAGATTGACCATGGAAGTGAAGGGTCAGCCATGGAAATCAGGGCCTGAACATGCATGTCACGAGTGAGCACATCCCTCCCTTGGGGGGCTGGAAATGCACCTTCCCAGGCTCCTTGGGAAAAACTGTGTTTCCCGAGTCGTCACCCTTTTCCCTGACTCTCCATGGCCTGGAGCACCCCAGCCCTGCACCTCGAGCAGTGTCAGGGACCCCAGCAGCTGGGAAGGGCTGAGGTCGGGGGCCCAGGGGTGCACCTTCAAGACCGGCCCTCCCCTCTCCACGAGAGTAGGGGGAGCGGGTAGAGATAATTTCTGTTTCTTCTGGGGAAAAAAAAAAGAAATAGGACTTAGAAAAAAGGCGCCGTGACAGGGAGGCTGCGAGCGGCCCAGATGCGGTGGCAGCCGGCAGAGGGCCGTGACAGCTGAGCGGGGCCGCAGCGACACTCTCGACACTCTCGGGGCTTGTGTCTATTTTCATCTCCGTGTTTACAGGGAGCGACGGCACTGTCAGCCCGTCAGGCCTGATGGCCGCCAGGGCGCGCGGGGGGCTGAGGCCCGGCCTTGGTGGTGGTGGTGGGGCGGGGGGCGGGGAGACGCTGGCTGGAGCCTCTGAGGTGCCCGTGCAGACCCGGCCTGGGAGGGGGGTCTCCGTGCTGGGCCGCTCCACACTAGCCTGCCCTCCCTCCACATTCTAGAACATTCCATCTGAACAGAGCCTGGGAGGCCTGGAGGGTGGCAGGTGGGTGCGGAGTCCTTCCCAGTCAGAGAGGAGGAGGGAGGGGGAGGGTGAAGGTGGACGGGGGAGGGGTGGGGTGGGTGTAAAGAAGGGGGGACACGGAGGGAGGGGGTCACTGCAGACAGGCCTGGGGACAGGAGCAGGGGTGCAGGGGAAGGGGAGATGCCCCCACGCCCCCTGATTGCACTTACATCACTTAGCCGGCCCCCCCAATAGCTACAATACAGTCCCCCCTCACCCCCCTACCTGTCCACCTGCGACCCTGGCCCTGCCTTGCTGGTGACGCCCCCAAGGCCGCACCACGACCCCCAGGCCCAAGCTGCCGGCTCTGGCCCACGCCCTTGCACCCCGGGAACCCACCCACGCCCCTGCACCCCAGGGAACCCCACCCAGCCCTTTGGCCCTTCAGGAGTTCGGTGACAAGCTCTGTCATGTGGAGACCTATGCCCCCTTCCCACGCAGGCAGGGGAAAACAAGGCGTCGCCTGGGTCCAGCTGACCATGGCAGGTCAGTGCAGACTCAGCCCCTAGAGGGACCACTCCGATCACCTGCCCCAGGACTGGGCTGAACACCCCTCACGTGCATAGGGACCTCAGTCCTCCTTGGGGACAGAGCCTCCCTCTGGGGTGGGGCGCCCCCTAGGGGAGGTCACCGCCACTGGACAGGCTGGAAAGACTCACTTGCTGTCTCCAGTGTGCTGTTGCCAGGACACGGCCTTCAGAACCAGTCTTCAAGTCTCCCCACTCAGGACCCCTTTGCGACACCTCCCAGCCGGCCCTGCTCCCCCCTCTCAAGTCCTCACACCGCCAGATGAAACCCAATCACTTGCCACCTCCTCCAGGAAGTCTTCCTGGGATAGCCCTGCCCAGGCTTTTCTCATACCCCTCTCAGCTCAGGTGTTGAGTTGTCTCCAACCCTGCAGGTGCCCTTCCACAGGGTCTCGTCCCTCTCTTTGCCATGGGGGAGGAGCCATGTCCCTCCAGCGGGTCCTGATAGCATCTGAGACACATCTACGATTTCAGCGATCGTTGCCCTGGACACAGGGGGGTCCTGGACCCACAGCTTCAGAGGGGCCGAGGCCGCCTTTCCCTCTCAGGGCTGCCTTCCCTGTGCGGGGGTCCTGCACCCTACATGACTCGGGGTCCGTGGCCCCCTGCGCTGCCGGGCTGGGAGCTGCCTTTGAGTTTTTCCGTCTGTGGGTGCCATCCCCCACCCCACCCCACTCCCGGGGCAGCACTGTGCAGCTCCCAAGGGCAGGAGACAAAGGGACGCTGAGTCAGCTGTGGGGATGGGAAGATGAATGGAGCAGCTAATTAGCAACATTGTCCCTGGGCCCTGGGGAGTTCCAATCAGGCTTCTGGGGGACAATGGCTGGGCACAAATCCGCCAGGAAGAGGCAAAAATAAAAGCCCCCCCCCCCCATCCAAAAGATGCAGTGATGCCACCCCATGCCTCCCAGTGCGGGGAGGGGGGGAACAGGGATGGAGGCCAGAGACCTCGCCAAGGCCATGGGGGATGAAGGCCCCATATCCGGCCCCCCAGCAGTCGCGGGAACCCCAAGGGGGCTGAGCACGTCGGCAGATGCACCTCCCCCACCGGGAAGGGCAAACTCACAGGCGCCCCCTAGATCTTTGGGGGGGTTGGGGCGCCCTCAGGTCTGTGGTCAGGGCTGCGAGCACATTCCAACGGGTGGGCAGAGACCCCACTGTCCACGCCGGCCAGGGGCACCTGCCCCATCCCTGGCCGGGTCCCCACCTGCTGCCTCTGAGACCCTGGGGCCGGCCCTCCCCACTCAGCCCTTCCGTCCTTGAGGGGGGGGCATGGGGGGGTCTGAGCCAGGCCCAGGTGACTCGGCCCATAGACCCACCTCGAGACTTCATCCCGATGAAGCGGTTCTCCACGATGTCGATGCGGCCCACACCGTGCTTGCCCCTGAAGGGGGGAGAGATGGGGGTGGGTGAGACGCCCCCCAGTGGCCGGCCGGTCTCGGTGCAGGTGGGAGAGCCGGGTTGGGCCAGGGTGGCCACAGTCTCAAGACCACCATCCTGGGGCTCCCACTGGGTGTCGCGGGGTGGGGGGGGCATGGCAACCTTGTCACGGGCCCCTCCCCAGACCAGTGGCCCCCACCTATGGGGCTGAGGCCAGGCTGCCAGGAGTACCCAGCTGTGCCGGCCGGCTGGCCCCAGGGGTCCTGGCGGGGTTAGGGGGACAGTCCAGATCTGCAGATACTCACGCAACTTCATTCAGGTACATGAAGAGCTCCAAGGACGTGTGGTGGCTGGTTCCATCCTTGACATTGGTCACCTTCACAGGGACCCCTAGGAAGGCAGGGGGGCCCCGGGCTCAGCCAAGGGGCCGGGCCGGCTCCCCTCCCCTCCCCCGCCCCCTCTCTGGCCTGCAACACCTTAAATGGATGTGACAGATATGGGGTCCAAATGACTCTCGGGAAGCCCCGTGTGCAGGGGGGCCCGCGGGGGCGGGGGGGAGGCCGCCCCCCAGAATGAAAGGGAAAACGCAATAAAAACGCTCCCCCCCACCCTGCCCATTCTCTCGGCCCCTTTTGCATTTAGGGGTCGTGAAATTGGAACCAGGCCCCGAACTAATTGAATTTCACGCTCCACCATTGTCTTACGCCCGCGTGGCCTTCTGTCCCACCAGCTACGGGCCCGCAGCGCACCGAGTGCAGACACACGCGGCCCCCCCCCCCCCGCCCCGCCCCACCCACCCCAGCATGTCTGGCAGGCCGAACCCGCACCCCAGACCCGCACCCCGGACCCGCCTGCAGCCCCCCGGCCGGTGGGGTGACCCGGCGTCCACTCGGCCAGCAGGCCCGCGAGGTGCTGGACAGGCCGAGGAGGCTGGGGTGGAGAAGGGCAGGGCCGAGGGGGGGTGCGGGTGTGATGTGGGGGGGGGATGGGTGGGTTTGGGGTTGACTCTGAATAGCCAAGGGGCACTCTGGAGCGGTGTGAAATGAGCAATAAATGTATCAGGGGCTAACAAGAGCTGTAACAATGACAAAGAAAAGCTGTTCAAAGTTGGCGGTTAATCCCCCACCCATCTGCCCAGCTCATTACCATGGAGCCGGTGCTGGTGCCAATCAGGCCTCAATGGGGCCTCAGAGCCTTTATCGCGGCTGCCGGGGCTGGGCCGCACGGCGGCCCGGCCATTCTTCACCCCCATTTCCAGGGGTTTTATAACTTGGTTGTAAATTGCTATTAAATGTAAGTCGGCCCAATAATGAACCTTGAGCCCCGCCGCCCCCTCCCCCGCCCTCGCCTCTCCCTTTCTCTCCTCCCGGGCCTATTATGGTCCCGCCTGGCCCTGGCCCGCCGGGGCCCCCCAGAGCCACCGACATTGTTGATGCTCGCGCAGAAAGCCTCTTAGCCTTTAAAATAGTTAATAATTAGATTAAAACTTCAAATAAATTAACTAGGGGATGAATGGGGGAGTGGGTGGGGAGGGGTCCGCCCGTCTCGCTTCTTTTCTGCCCAGACAGCCCCCAAATCACTCACACGGCTCCGCCCGGCCGGCCGGCGTGGGCACCCGGCCCTCTGCTCCTGCCCGCCTCTACGGCCAAAGCCCGGGCCGCGGGCTGCTGCTCGTTGTCCCCAACCTCAGAGGTCCCCGGGTATCCTGAGGGGGAACTTGGTCCCCGAGGGGGGTGGAATTCAGGGTTTGAATGGGGGTGCACAGGAAGCGAATGTGGGGAAACAGGCCAGGCACCAAGAGCTATGGGTGTCTGTGGGTGTCTGTGGGCATCTGTGGGGGGTCTGTGGGTATCTGTGTGCATCTGTGAGTGTCTGTGGGCATTTGTGGGGGGTCTGTGGGCATCTGTGGGTGTCTGTGCATATATGTGGGTATCTCTGGGCATCTCTGGGTGTCTGTGTGCATCTGTGGGTGTCTGTGGGCACATGTGGGCATCTGTGAGTGTCTACGGGTGTCTGTGGGCATCTGTGGGGGGTCTATGGGCATCTGTGGGGGTCTGTGGGTGTCTATGGGTGTCTGTGGGCGTCTGTGGGGGGGTCTGTGGGTGTGGGCATCTGTGGGTGTCTGTGGGCATATGTGGGCATCCTTCCTGTGGCCCACACAAGCTCACCCGTCAAGGTTGCACTGCCTGGCAGGAAGCAGAGGCATGAGCTCCCCTCCTCACACCTGTCCTGCTGGCCCTGCCCTCCCCACGTCCCTCCTTGTCCACACTCGCTGGCCCTCCAGCTCCTGCCCTGCCTCCCAGTCATCTAGTCAGTCTCTGGAGGGGTCTCCTCCTGGCATCCCAATTTCATCCCGAGCTGATGTCACTGACCCTCCAAAACGCCAGGGATCTGGTTGCCAGGTGGGCAGAAAGGTGAGAGGGAGCAGCAGAGAGGAGGCCTAAGAGCTGCCCAGTGCCCGGCCTTCCACGGACACATGGGGAAACTGAGGCTCGAGTAGAGGAGCCTTCCCCCGCAGCAGTGCTCCTCTGGAACCAGGGGCGGCTGCACACAGGGCCAGGGGGACGAGGTACCGGGCGGGCGGGAGGGCACCTACCTTTCTTGAACTCGATCTCCAGGACGTCGGGGGTGTTGGGGGCCTTGGTGGGGTCCTGGGTCTTCGTGTACAAGCCGGGAGGCGCTTGGTTCTGCAGAAGGGCGGGAGGATCAGGAAGGGGGTCCCGAGGCGAGCACCGCCAAGTCATGCCAGGCCAGGCCCCGGGCAGCCCCCACCCCGGCAGGAGCCCGGGCTGCAGGCACGGCCCCAGCTGGCGCGGTCCTGTGGGCACCCCCGGGCCCCCCGCCAGCCCCCCTCCACCGGCCTCGCTTGCCAGGGCCCGGGAAACAAAGGATGGAAAATCAGACAATTTTTCCCCTCAACTTGATCTCATCTTTTTCTCCGACGCCCCCACAGCTGGAGGTAGAATAGCGGGAGAGGAGCAAGTCAGGCAGGAAAAGTGTAACTTTGGGGCGCGGGCTGCCGGGAGCAGCGCGGGGCGCGCGGCGGCAGGGAATTGGGGTTGACCGCAAAGCTAATGACTGCGCGTGACCCCAGCAGGTGCTCCGGCGGGCCGAGCCGTCCCCGGGGTCTGCGAGGTTAATACTCCCAGGGGAGGGAAGAGAAGCCGAGCAAAAACCCATTTGAAAACGCATCAACCTTTATGTATATTTTTTCTCGGGTGCGTTGGGAAAATGTCTTTTGAGGCGGCGGGGGGGGGGGGCGTGCGGGGGGGGGGTTGCATCTGCCAGCGCCCGGCGATTCCCACAGCCGGCTGGAGGGGGCCGGTCTGTGGGCCACCCAGGGAGGGGAGGCTGGCGGCAGGGCACCTGGGGGACCCGGGCCCGGGATCCCAGCCCTCAGGCTGGGGGGCTTACAGACTTGCGCCCCCAAATCCCGTTAGGACCCCACCCAGGCAGCTCTGGGCATCCAGGACCATGAACCGTCTTTCTTTTTTGAGGGGTGTCGGCTGCACCCCAGCTCTGTGCTCAGGAGTGACCCCTGAATTCACAGCGGTGGTCACTGGGGTGCAAAGCCGGCCCTTAACCCAAACCATCTCTCCCTGTTTTGAACCCGACAATGCTGGGGGAGGCCTACAGCCAGTACCAGCAGGGCCTCTCTGGGAAAGGGGGTCCCAGAGCTCCCCCCTGGCTCTACGGACCCTCCCCAGGCCCACAGAGCGCAGGGCTGTGTCCAGGTGCCTCCCCGAGGGCACAGGGACAAGGGCCCCAAACCTGGGCCCAGGACACCCCGCGAGGAGCGTCCAGAGACCCCAGCTGAGGGCTGTAGGACCTGTCCGGCTGCGTGTCCCAGGGGCACAGGACCAGACCTGCCTCCCACCACACGCGTCCCTGCCCCCAGCGGCCTGGCACGTGAGTCCACCAGACTCGGTCCCCAGGGCCCGGGCACCACCTGCAGCCAACCAGGGCCCAGACAGGCCCGGGGGACCCTTTGCCGACGGCCAACAAGGCCGGGCAAGGAGTCTCTGCTGAATGTCAGGGTGACCCACTGCCCTTCGAGCCCACCTCTGGGGCACCTGTGCCCAGAGCGCCTGGCGTTCACCTCCCACCCCCAGGGGTCTCAGGGGGAGCCTTCCCACACATGCGTGGACGCGTCTCTCTCCGGGGCCCCGGGGGGAAATGATGCCAGCTCTGCCCAGGGTGCCCGGTGCCCGGCTCAGAAGACAGAAGAGTCTCTAAGCGCCCCCAGAGGTTCACTTCCAATGTCATCTGGGGGTGGGGGACGGGGAGCCGGGGGGTGGGGAGGGAAGAAAGCGCAGAGGGAGGCGGCCGAAGGGACCCTGAGGCAGGCCAAGGGGAAATCGCGGCCAATGGCCCATGAACGCGGGCGCGCGTGATCGATGCCCGCTCTCCGGGCCCAGGTAGGCCGGGCTGAATGCGCTCTGTCACCAGGCGAATGAAGTTAGAGCAAGTAAATTTCTCTCTTTCTCCACATTAGCTGCCTCATTGCCCTTCAATCGGCCCCACGGAGGCAGAAAATGGCTCCACCATCTGCCTCCCAACCTCCCGGCAGGTCCCGGGGGTTTTATTTTGGAGAGGGGGAGGGGACCCCCGTCCCTGAGCTCTGTCTCCCGGGATCCTTCTGGGGGGACCAGCAGGGCCAACCCCCCCCCCACCCCCCAGGAGGTGGCACCCGGGGACCAGAGTCCCCTGGGATGGAGCCTGCAGTCAGGGGCTGCTGAGTTCTGGCTCAGGGGGCCCTTTCCCGGGTTCCAGGACCCCACTGGGTACCCCGGGGCTGGGGGAGTACTAAGGTGCCCAGGTCTTACCCAAGAAAAGGACGCAGCTGCACAAGGAGGCTCAGAGAGGTTGAGCAACTCGCCCAAGGATGCACAGCAAGAAGTAGGGATTCGACTCAGCTTTCCCATGTCTGCCCTTCACAGAGTGACAATCCCCCGGAGCCCAGGGATGGGGCTGTGCCCAGGTCTTTCTTGCCTGTGAGGCCACAGCCATGGCCACTGCCTCAAGACTGTTCGAGGTGGGGCGGAGGGACCTGCCTCTGCTCTGCTCCGCACCCAGGGAGGGAGCCCCGGGCCCCTGAGGGGGTTTCTGGGAATAGTTCTGGCATGGGGGGGCGTGTGGGGCTGCCCCTGTGCTGACTGACTGGCTAATTATGGTGGCTGGACCCAGCGCCACGGGGTCAGCAGAGCATGAACTGGAAAACCCGCGGCCAGCAGGTGGCAGCCCGCGAGGCCATCAGCCCCCCGGGGGCACAGGGTGCCGGCCAGGGTGAGTGACAGTGGCGGGGGGCGGGGGGGCCAGTGGGGAGACCTGGGCTCCAACCGCGGGCCCCCTCCTAGCCTGGACGAGAGCGGGGGCCAGCGGGGCTGGGACTGGGGGGCACCCAGGGCGGTGGGTCCAGCCTGTCCCTCGGGGATCCGTTCGGGGGGACCCAGGACTGGGTGGGGGTCTCCAGCTCTCCCCACCGGCACCCAAACTACCCGGCAGCCTCCAGCTGGTCTTCTTGGACCGGCCCCCAGTTCCGCCAGCGGCCCAGCTGCTCAGCACCCCCGGCAGGGCGGTGGGCCCAGGAAAGGGGGCACATTCCCTTAGGGACAAAGAGCTGAGGCTGCCCTTGGCAGAGCTGGACCCCAGGCGGGCCCCCGGGGGACATTCCCTGATGCTGCGGGTGGCCCCGGGCTTGGGTGGGGGACACATCAGTGCTGGCGCCCCCCTCCCACAGTTCCACTGCTGTGCTCCCACCCCCCACTTACTCCGAGGGGCCCCAAGGGGCAGGCTCGCCCCTGCCCCCCCGTGAAATCTCAAATTAGGCTACAGAGACGTCGGCTGAGGCCTTGCCACAGAGCCCCCCACCAGATGCGCCGAGGCATGGGGCTTACCTTGGGGTTCTCCAGGATCCCAGCCTCGTAGCTGTGGGGGGAAGGCAGGGGGTCAGCAGGAGGGGACAGAGGGACCCAGCTATGCCCCGTCCCCAGCCGGTCTGCCCCTTTGTCTCGCCGGGTCCCTGCTGGGCTGGGCTGTGCCCACTCGAATGGCCGTGGCACTAACAGGTGTCCAGGAAGAGCAGGGATGTTCTGGCAGCCTGCTGGTCTTGGCCAGTCCCTGCTCTGCCTGGGGGCTTTGCTGGCAGATGCCCCCTCCTCCAGAAGCCCTCCTGGATTCCTCTGGGTATGGGGGGGGCCAGGACTCCCTCCCCCCACTCAGGCAGACAGGCCCTGGAGCCTGCTATGGGCGGGGGGGACGTGGTGGGAGGCCCAGCGTTGAGCCCATGGGATGGCCAGCTCACCTGATGTGCATCAAGTTCTCGTCCATGCTCCAGGGGCTCTTGGGGGTGACCGGGATGGGGATGCCGTGTTGCTGTGGGGAGACCGATGGGGGTGAGGCGGGCTGGGGGCTGCGTGCGGCTCCTTCCGGAACCTTCCAACACCCCAAATCCCTGGAGTGTGAGGGTCTGTCGAGGGTGGGCCAGGGCAGCACCCAAGACCCCACAGGCCGACCTTGGGGAAGGATCGAGTCCCAGAGAGACCCCCGGCCACCACCAAGGGGCACCGCAGCCCTGCACGCCCACCCGAGCCCAGCGCCCCCAAGGCCGGGTCCTGAGTGACTCGCCCACCGGGGCTCAGCCTCCCCTCCGGGTGCTGGAGGCATCTGGGTGGGGTGGGGACACCACCAACGGCCTCCCCCGCGCAGACTCTGCAGAACTTCCAGCCTTGGCTACCCCATCCTCCTGCCCTCGGAAGACCCCAGAGCCTTCCTGCAGCTCAGACTCATGAAGCAAGAACGCCTGGTCCCCCCACCCCGTCCCCCGGGCCCTAGACCTCGGGGGAAACCGACTCTCTAAGGAAAATTCCAGGATCCGTCTACTCTGCAGCTAAACCCCGTGGGCTGTAGGGGGCACGGCAGTAGAGGCCACTCAAAATTGGGGAACAGTTGTGCCCCCAAAGTCAGGGGGAGGCGGCCAGAGGAGGGGGCCTGTGGGGGGCGTGGCTGGGGCTGAGCTAGAGCCTCTCTTGGGGGTGGGGGCGGTGGGAGACCGGCCCCTTTCGGGGACCCACCAAACCTGCCAGGAGGGCGTGCATTTCTTTGCCGAGTCTGTGTGTGGGGGGAGGCAGGGTTCTCAGAACCCCGCTCACCTGAGACCACCCTGTGTCCGTGCTGAGTCTGGGCGGGGTCTCGGAAGCTGCACATTACTCTGGGTGCAGGGTCTGGGCGCCCCCAGTCCTCAAGGGTGCTCCGGGCTCCGTGCTGGCCTTCTGGGGGGGCAGGAGGGGACCCCACTCTCGCCTTCCCCTAACTTTCCTCTCCTGGAGGCTCTTTGGCCCAGAAGCACCTCCCAGGGACCCAGACACGACCCTGAAATAGAACTGCTGGGAATCGGAATCAAGGAGGCTGTGGGGTGTGTGTGTGGGGGGAGGGGGCCCTCCTGAGCCCCGGTTGCAGGCAGGACACGGGGGCGGGGAGAGAGAGTGGACGCTCCTCCGATTCATCCCCCGCAGGAGGAAACGCGCTCTGTGCGCTGGACCCTCAAGGAGCCGAGAGGGCGCCCCCCCCCAACAGCCGCAAGTGCCCCTAATAGCTCCGCTCACTGCCGGTTTGTTTGGCAACATATGGGCACCTCCTGAAAACTCCCCTCCGAAGAATAAAACAACAGATGGTGGAGGGGCGCTTTCCGCCGCACTCGGGGTCTTAATGGGATGCTGGCGCAGGGGCCGGGGCCGTCCCCGCCGCGTCCCCCGCCACGCGGCACCTTGGCTGCCGGGAGAGCGCGGCCCGCGCTACTGGCTGCTATTTAAAACCCTGAGCAATTTTCTGGTGCGTGCACCAAGCGGCTTTTCCCCCGTCTGATTGATTGAGGCTGTTTGTCAAGGGTTGACATCGAGTCGCTAAAAAGAAAGGTGCCCTGGGGAGCTGTAGGGATCTGGAGGCAAAACTTCTAATATGTGTGATTGCGACTTGCACTTCCCAGGGGCTGTTGTGCCTTTGTCTGCTCGGGCCGCTCGCCTTACCTGCCCCTGGGACAGGGACAGGGTGCATGCTCAGGGGTGCTGGGGGGCTGACACCCCGGGCTCCCACCTTACCTTGGCGTACTCCATCAGGTCGTTGCGGCCCTGGAAGCGGTTGTAGAACTCAGGCATCCTCCAGGGAGCGATGACCTGCGGGGAGTTGGGGGTCAGGGGCCAGGGGGCAGAACCTTTGCTCCAGAGCAGAGCCCTGGGCCCCAGCACTGCCAGGTGCAGCCCTGGAGGGTCCCAAGCGCCTCTCCGTGGCTTGGTGGGGGCAGCACTCCCTGGTCTGCCGGCATTGCGTCTCTGAGCCCAGCATGGAACCCCCCAGCCCCCTGAATGCTGCTGAACCCCCCGCCAGTACTCGAGTCCCAGCCTGCCGCTCAGAGAAACCCTGTCTGGCCACGGAGCCCAGGCCCTGGTGACGGCGACAGTCAGATGGGGGTGTGCAGCTAATGGGGGTGGAAAGGGCCCCAGACCTAGAGCCCCCAGAACCAATGCTCTCTGGTCCCAATCTGACTAGGGGGGGCCCCACCCTACCACCCCTGGCTCAGCCTCTGAAGACAAAGACTAGAAATTAGACAGTCTGGTCCCCTACAATAATAGATGGATGGATGGATGGGTGGGTGGGTGGGTGGGTGGGTGGGTGGATGGGTGGGTGGGTGGATGGATGGATGGGTGGATGGATGGATGGGTGGGTGCGTGGGTGGGTGGGTGGGTGGGTGGGTGGATGGATGGATGGATGGGTGGATGGGTGGATGGATGGATGGATGGATGCTGGGTGGATGTATGTATGTATGGATGGATGGATAGATGGATGCTGGATGGATGATCGATGGATGGATGGATGGAGAGATGGATGGATGATGGATGGATGAAGGGTGGATGATGGGTGGATGGATGATGGGTGGATGGGTGAATAGATGTGCGAATGAATGGCTAGATGGGTAAAGGTGGGTAGATGAATAGCTGGATCGATGGGTGGATGGACAGTTGGATAAGTGGATGGTACAGAGGTGAAGGATGGGTGGGCATGTGAGTAGAGGAGTGTGATGGTTAGATGACAGGTAGAGATAGCAGATGGGTAGGTGATGAGTGGGACGGATGGACAGATGATGGGTGGGTAGGCAGATGGGCAGAGGATGGATAAAGAGATGCATGGATGAAGGATGGGGAGACAGATGAACAGATGAGAGAAGGAAGGATGGGAGGTTGGATGGAGAGATGAGTGAATGCACAGACAGGCAGATGGATGAACTTATAAATGATGAATGATGGGTGGGTGGATGGAGAGACAGGAAGACGGATGAGTAGATGGTAGATGGGTACATGGATAGATGGACAGACAGACAGACGGATGGATGGATGGACAGATGGATGAAGGGTGCATCAGTAGACGAACGGATTATGGCGATCGGTCCAGGAAAGACACACGATGATTAGGGCTGGGGGGACCAAGGGGCACCATCCAGCATGTGGGGTGTCCTGTGCACACTGTCCCTGACTGTGGAAGCTTCCAGAACCTCCACGCTTCTATCCAAAGAACTTGGGCCCCAGCGCCCAGCCCCTCACGAAAAAGGACTAACACCTCACCTTGATCTGGGGCGCCAGGGAGTAGCAGGTGAGTTCGAAGCGGATCTGATCATTCCCCTGGAACACAGAAATGGAGGTGAGAACGGCTGTGGTCGGGCTGAGGGTGGCAGCGCCCAGAGGAACACAGAAGCCCATCGAAGGGGTGGCATGGGCAGAACGAGGTGGGGGGTGCTCGGATGCGGGGGGGCCTCGGGGGTAACTCAAGCAAACTGCTCCATGGGCAGTCAGGGCTCCAGCCAAGGTAGGGCGTGGTGCTGCGTGGACACAGGCATGGTGGGAGGGTGCCCACCCTCCCGCCCTGACCCTCCTGTGTGCGTGGGAGGATGTCGGCAGCACCCTGCAGAAGTGCCAAGGGCAGCGCGTGCAAGGCCGGAGCCGTGGGGGCTGCCCAGGTGGGCACTTGTCTCCCGATCTGTGCCCGAGACCCTGAGCACTCGCTGCAGGCAGGCTGAGGCGCAGAGCAGAGGGCTGGCCCGAGTGCGGAGCCCGGCCTGGCGTGGCTCACGGTGTGGTTGTTCTGCACTCTGAGACGGTGTCCACTGAGACAGCCGCCCCTGGACCCAGTAATCGGGGTGTGGTGTGAGGTGCTGGCCCTGGCCTGCCTGGTCACCAGCATGGTGGGAATGACAGAGCCTTGTGCCTTCTGCAAGAACCGATGGCGAGGAGCCGGGCAGGGGGAGGATTCTTTGTTGTTGCTGGCACCTGGCACCTGGCAGTGCTCAGGGCTGACTCCTGGCTCTGTGCTCAGAACTGACTCCTGATTCTGTGCTCAGGGCTGACTCCTGGCTCTGTGCTCAGGTCTGACTCCTGGCTCTGTGCTCAGGGCTGACTCCCAGCTCTGTGCTCAGGGATCACTCCCTGCTCTGTGCTCAGGGATGACTCTCAGCTCTGTGCTCGGGGATCATTCCCAACTCTGTGCTCAGGTCTGATTCCTGGCTCTGTGCTCAGAACTGACTCCTGGCTCTGTGCTCGGGGCTGACTCCTGGCTCTGTGCTCAGGGATCACTCCCAGCTCTGTGCTCAGGGATCACTCCCAACTCTGTGCTCAGAACTGACTCCTGATTCTGTGCTCAGGGCTGACTCCTGGCTCTGTGCTCAGGGGATGCAGGGGATCAAACCCAAGTTGACTGCATGCTAGGCTCGTGCCCTCCCCCTGTCCTATCATTCCAGCCCAGAACCTGCTATTTTCAAGAGTCTGGTCAGGGGCCAGAATAAGGAGCCCAGGAACAAGGCCCCACACTGAGGTCCTTTGGGAGCATCTGCATCCAGGGAGGAACTCCACCCAGTTTGCAGAAGGAAAGTGAAGCTCAGAGAGGTGAGGCCACTCTGCCAGGGTCACACAGCAGCAGGCCCACCCTGCCCCCAGGAAACCAGGTAGGGTCTTAGGAGACCCCGTCTGAGTTGGGGCACAGGGGGGCCCCTCAGTGCCTGTCTGGGGGTGCAACCCCCAGTCAGGAGCCCTGGGGCTAACTCACGGCCTTAACAACTGGCTCTTGGGGCTGGAGAGAGAGAACAGCGTGGAGGGCGCTTGATTTGCATGGGGTTGGCCCGAGTTCTGGTCCCCGGCACCACTTAGGGTTCTCTGAGTCCCTGGGGTGATCCCTGAGTGCAGAGCCAGGAGTGAGCCCTGAGCATCCCCTGACAAACAAGAACTGGCTCCGTGTCTCTGGGTCCGGCCGTCTTTCCCCCCACGGGGAGGGGGCCGGAGGGGCCGCCTGTCCCCACAGCGTGGGGACCCCCATCTCTCCCAGATGCACAGACCCTCCCAGAGACGGTCCGTGGCTCAGACTCGGGATAAGCACCCATCCCAGCTGTGCTTCCTCCCCAGAACCCCAGTGCACCACAGCCCCCCGACAGTCCCCCTAGATGGTGCCTGCACTGAGTCCCCCTTCCACACTGGGGTGTGGTGGGGCGGCGCTCTGGCCAGAGGGCAGGGGTGGACCCCAGCTTCCATGTGGGTTCCTGTGCCTACAGCCTGGGCGCCCCCGTTCCTGCTCCCCAGGGTGCCCCTGGCCCAGGCCGCCCAGTTGTGGGCCAGCCGGGAGGGGAGCTAGGCCAGCCTTAGGCCCCAGGCCCTGCCACCTGACTCTACCCGGCTCCCTCTTCCTGGGGACCCCTGCTGGAAAGTTCTGCGGCTACTCCCCACGCTGCCCAGGTTCCCCCAGACTCTGCTCTGAAGCCATCAACCCCCCCCCCCCCCAGGCCCCACCTACAGCCCAAACTGCACTTTTCTGGACCCCACCCAGGCCAGGCCCTCCCTGAGTCTCGGAAATTGTCTCTAAAGGCTGTTAAAGGTGCTCTCAGGAACTGTGCAGGGGAAACTGAGGCAAGGCATGGGAGTAAGCCTTGTCCACTGAATCCCAGAGGTGGCAAATCCAGGCAGGGGACCCCAAGTCTGACCCCACCCCCCCTTCATCCCCCCCACATATTTAGCATGACCAAGGGGACATCCCCAAGTCCCAAATGACCACAGATGCTCTTCTCAGAGTGAAGGACCCTGCGAACAAGGAGGGGTGGGGGCGGGGAGGGTGGGGCGGCGCCGCCAACGCCCCCAGAACGTCCCTGGGCCATCAGCCTTCCAAGGGCTCAAACCCAGACCTCGTGCGCCCTCTGGTGGCCAAAATGAGCAGTGCGTGCAGCTCTCCGGCGGCCTTGGGGGACCAGAGGGGCCTGCCTGGGACCCCCTCCCAGAACCCCCAAGACAAGAACACACCCACTGCGCGAAATGCAGCAGCCTCTTCTCCAGTTGTGGGGGTCCCTGCACAACCAGGATCTCCTGGACTCAGCTTGAGTCCCCCCCGGGACGGGGAACTCGCTGGGGTCCCTGCCCTTCACTCACACTCAGCAGAAGGGGCACTGGAGACTTGGTGGGGGCCGCAGGGGTAGTAGGGGGAGTGAGGAGCCAGCATGAGAACCTGGTGGCACTGCCCCGCCCCTGGGCTCCCGGCCCCCTCTTCAGTCCACAGCAGGTGGGGCCCCCCTGCCCAGCCCAGGAGGGCCCCAGCCAACCCCCACCCCGACTCCGCTCACACCGCTAATGCCAGCTTATTAGTGAACGCCAGCCCAGGCCTGTGAGGACGGGCTACAGCCAGAGCTGGGGGCCTTGCGGGCCTTCCCACACCCCCTAAGGCTGCCCTCAGGAAGGAGCTGACCCCCGCTGGCATGGGCCCAGCCGCGCCCGGAGACCAGGCACTACGAGTTGACTGCCCCTCTGCCCCGCGTGCCCTTCCCACGCCAGCTAAGGGTTCCCCGAAGCTCCCCTGGCATGCACCCTCTGGTACAGGCTCCCTGGGGTATGCCTAGCAAAGCCCCTCGCTGCTCTGGACCAAGGAGCTGAGGGGCGGGGCGGAGACACGGGGCGTGGGCGCGGCCACACTAAGCCCCGCCCCACCACGGCCCTCACCCTGGCCCCGCCCAGCCGGGGAGAAGGCAGTGACCGCTAGGTGCAGCCCGTCCTGCTTCCCCGGGCCCTTTCTGTGCAGTGGCTGGCACCTCTTTCTTGTCTTTCCCGCCTCGCGCTCCCCCAACCCCCCCGACACACAGGGCCGGGGGTCGGGGGCTGGACTTTCGGGGACTCACTGAGCGAGGACCTGAGGGTCAAATGCATTCTCAGGAAGGGAATGGGGGGGGCCCAGGGACGGCGCCAGGGAGGGGAGGAAGGAAGGGAAGGGCAGCGGTCGGAGGGCTGCATCCACAGCCCAAGGACAAGCCTAGAAGGACCCTGGACAGACCCCAAGCCCGCATCGGACCCTCCAGTGGCCTCCTGGCCCTGCGTGATCCTCATGGCAGGCCAGGCCCTGGACCCTGAGTCCATAGTTGGTCCCGCCCCGGGAAGCTGTCCAGGGACCTCCCGCTCTGCACTCGGGAAAAGGGGACGGGGCACAAGGCCACGCGGCTGGACCCAATCTCGCCACGACCCAGCAGGGTGGCGGCCTGGGCACTGCCTGGACTTCACCGTGACCTTGGCCGAGCCGTCCAGTCCTCACTGCCAAGTGTGAACAGGGTGGACGCCTCCACGGGCCGCACATGCAGTGCCCCCCCCTCCGCCACACACACACACGGCCACGCCGCAGAGCTCACAGGCAGCCACGCTGCTCTTCCCCGTCACACCGCCAACACGGCGACTGCTCTGCGGGACCCCAGAACCGGTATCCCTCCCTTCCTCGCCACCACGCCCGTCCTCTGCCTCACCTTCCCTGTGGCTCCATGGGACACGAACTTGGCGCCCTCCCGCTTGGCGATCTCCACCTGCTTGCGGGCGATGCAGGGCCTGGCGAGAGAGGTGCCCAGCATGTAGCGGTCCTCATACAGAGCGCTGGACTGCACGGCAGGCCAGATGAATTCCTCCACAAACTCCTTGCTGACATCCTCAATGAACACCTGGAGGGGGAAGGAGCGGGATATCAGCAGGACAGAAACCCCCTCCTCTGCCCCAGGCCCACACTGGCCAGCTCCCAGAAAGGCTGGATCCCAGCAGACATCACTGATCGACCCAGCACACACCTTGCGGCCCTCCTGGAGCCCAGCAGATGGTGCTGGTCCACCCTCGCCCACTGTCCTCCCGGCCTGGTCCCGAGCCCTCCCTGCACAACACGTGGAGGGTCTCCCTCTTCCTCGCCCACTCTCGGGTCCTGGGGAGTCCTCCTCTCCCCCTTGCCGGGGCAGGCCACCCAGCATTCCGCTGACCTTCCCGCCCTCACACTGCCTCGGTCCTGTCTTAGCTCTTAGCCACCCGGCAGAAACCGTCCCACAGAAGGAACCGGTTCCGGCAGGGCAGGTGAGCGAGCGGGTGACCTCCTCGCTGTCCCTGTCCACTTTTCTCGGGCCGCAGCCCTCACTCCCCACAGTGGCCATGACCCTGACGTGGACCCCACCCTGTCAGCTGCATGAGCTCAGCTCTAAGCCAGGCATGGACTTTCAGCGGCTCTTCCTGGTCCTGCTGGACGGCCGGGGGCGGGGGAGCCTGGGCGAAGGCCAGAGAGAGGAGGGGTGCGGGGAGAGGGGGTCATTGAGGTAGGAGCGGATTCGCATGCATGGAGGCATCAACGGCGGAGAGAGGGGCCGAGAAGAGTGGGCAGGAAGGAGGTGCAGGATGGAGACTGGCGACGGGGCAGCAGAAGAGCGAAGGGTTGGCATGAGGACACCCGCACCCGCCACAGGAGGTCGTGGACCCAAACTGTGGAAGCAAAAGGACCCGAGAGAGGGGGTTGCAGAAACGCCCCCTCCCAGATCAGAGGCTTCACTGCAAGGGGCCGGGGTGGGGGGGAAGGTAAGGCACACGCAGCTGACCCCGAATCAATCCCTGGCACTGTCGCTGGGGACCGCCCTCGGGGCCCTGGCACTGCCAGGAGGGCCTGGGAATGCCCAGTGGGCCGGTGGCCCCTCCTGCTGACCCAGCCTGGGTGACGGCACTTGGTCACCACAAAACAAGGTAACAAAATCGCTTCTGCTGGGGCCCTGCCCCTGCCCCCTGTCCCCTGCCATCCCAGCGGACACCTTTTTGGCTCCAAGCTTCAGCGCCTTCTTCTTGGCTTCTTCGAAGTCCTCCTTCTGGCCGATATTGGCCTGGAAGCAGAGGCCCAGTCAGAGGGGGCGAGGCGGGGGCGGGGAGGGACCCCAGAGCCGAGTTTGGCAGCCACCACCCAAGGAAGGAGGCGAGAGGGCACGGCTGGCCGAGGTCTCTCTCCAGAGCCCTGGGGCTCAGCTGCGTGACCCGGAGCGGTTTCTAAGGACGAGCTAGGGTGGCCTGGGCCCCGCTGCCCGGTGAGTCCCACACCGGCACTACCCTGGAGGGCAGTTCCCCTCCAGTTCATCTGTCTCTCCCCGCCCGCTCCCCCAAAGCTGGGGCCAGGCTGGCCCGTGACTTGGCGCCCGGCCCTGCCCCAGGTCCTGGGCTCACTGGCTGCTGGCTGTTCCCTGGCAGATGCTGTGCTGGAAGCTTCCAGAGCCCCAGTGCATGTGTGTCTGTGAGGACACTCAGATTGGTGGCAGCTCGTGGAGGAGGTTGGGGGGTGGGGAACGGATGGAGGACCATCAGCGCCAGGAGGGGCGAGGCCCTAGGGGCCACGGTGGCCGAGGCGGGGGACAGCCGGGCTGGGCTCACCAGGTAGGCGATGACGTCATAGCCCTGCTCCTTCAGCCACACCAGGATGCAGGAGGTGTCCAGGCCGCCGCTGTAGGCCAGGACCACGGAGCCTTTGCCCGACATGTCTGTGTGAGGGAGGGGGCACGTTGGGGCGAGCAGGGCACGGCCGGCCGCTCCTCCAGCCACCGCACCCCTGCCCCAGGTTGCACTCCACGTGCACAGCCCTGCCCATGGGTGTCCCAGAACACTGACCAGGCGGGGGGGGGGGGTCAGATCCCACTTGCATCCCCCAAGTCAGGGTACAGTGTTGGGCCCAGAGCTAGTGGCAAGACAGGAGGGTGTTGGACACCAGATCACAGCCCCCCGGACCTCCTAGCCCGCCCTCGGACCCACGAAGAGGGGCCTTGTGGGCTGGGGGCCGAGCAGAGGCACAACTGCAGGGGCCGTCTGTGCATCTGTGGGAGCATCTGGGTGTCTGAGGGGGTGTCTGTGTATCTGTGGGAGCATCTGTGTGGGCATCTGGGCATCTGTGGGGGCGTCTGTGTGGGGTGTCTGTGTCTGTGAGGGCATCTGAGTATCTGGAGGTGTCTGAGCATCTGTGGGGGCATCTGTGAGTCTGCGGGTTCTGTGTGTGTGTGTATGTGTGTGTGTGTGTGTGTGTGTGTGTGTGTGTGTGTGTCTGCGGGGGCATCGGCCTGAGAGTTTGTGATCTGTGTGTGTGTCTTGGGGGATCTGTGTATATATTTGTGGGGTCTGGATGAGGTGTCTGTGTCTGGGGGTGTCTGTGTGGGTGTCTGTCCGTGTCTGTTTGTGGGGGTCTTTGTGGGAGCCTGGGGGGGTCAGAGGCAGAGCCCAAATCTCCCCCTTCCCTGGGCCGCTGAGCCTCGCCACACTGGGCATGTCCAGACGTCCGCAGGCCAACACCTCAGAGAGGACCGTGAGACACTCAATCAAGTGCTCAGAGAGTAGCCCCCTCCGGCACCCCCCACCCCTGCCCTCCTGGGGCACTGAGTCAGAGCGGGCTGGGGAAGGCCGTGGGCTCCCCCCACAGATCCACAGGAGCCCCAAAGGCCCGTCTACACCACAGTGACCAGGGCCTGGGCCTGTGGGGACAGCTGGTGACCCTGGTGCCCAGTATCCAGGCCGCTGGTCCTGCCCACTAGGGACCAGGCAGGGAATGTTGAGTGGACAGTGAGTCGGGGCGGTGCTGCGGTGCCCACCACGCTGCCCTCCCTGGCTCCCAGGGAACCCTGTACCTGTGACGGAGGGTGTTCCGGTGCCCGGACTCGGTCTTCACAGCTCAGCAAACCCTGCAGAAGGGGAGAAGTTCAGTGGCCTGCACGGGCCTCTGCCCAGCCTTCACGGCTACATGCAGGTGTGCACATGTGGATGTGTGCATGAATGTGGGCATACATGTGCACTTGGGCCATGCACACCCGTGTGTTGTATGTGCACAGTGCATCGTAGTGTGTTGCATGCGTGCACATGTCGGTATATGTGGAGTGGGTATATATGTGATGTGTGTATGTGCGTTGTGGTGCATGTGTGTGCATGGGTGCTGCATGTGTGTTGCATGCGTGTGCTGCATGTGTGTACGTGTGCTGTGTGCATGTGTGCTGCCTGTATGTGTGCATGGGTTCTGCATGCATTTGCATGTGCACATGTGTACATATGTGTACATGTGTGTACTCATGCGTGCAGTGTGTGCATACATGTATGCTCGTGTGTGTGTGTGGTTCTGGAAAACCAGGCATCTGCTACTAGAATTTCCAAGACCCCGAAGCTGCAGCCCGAGCTGAAGGAGAACGAGGCTGCGAGCTTTGTGGGGGTTGGGGACAGGGAAGCAGAAACAGAAACATCTGCTCAGCAAAGCGTCTGCAAAGTGCGGGGCACAACCTGTCCCCTGTCCCGGCCCACTCTCCTCCGGCTCTCAGGACCCTCACAGCCACACCACAGGAACCCTTCCAGCCCACCATGCCAGGACCTGCCTCCTGCTGGGGGGAAGGGTGTGGCGCCGTGCAGAGCAGAGCAGACGGCCACGCCCTGCCAGCCACACAGCTCCTGGCACTGGCCCAGCCATCCTGCAGAGAGACATGCCGCCGGGAGGACGGGCAGGTGCCAGGTACCTACGTGGCTGGACATGGTTGGCAGAGCAGGTGGCAGAGACCCCAGCCGCAGCAAACATGCCAGGGCAGCCCAGGCACTAGGAAAACCCCAGAAACAATGAGCAGGGCGTGGAGGATGCTCAAGAGGCTTGTGGCCTTTCCCCCGGTGGCCATGATCTCCTGGGCGGGGTGGCGGGGGGCCTGGGAGGTGGGGGCACTTGCCCAGCCCGGAGCTGGTAAAGGCAACCACGGCTGACGGCAGACACATGCTCTTGAAGGGTCTGAGCGCTGATCTCCTGGTGTGTGTGGGTGTGTGTATGAGTGTGTGAGTGTGTGTATGTGTGAGTGTGCGTGAATGTGTATGTGTGTGTATGTGTGTATGTGTGAATGTGTAATGCAAGAGTATATGCAAGAGTGTGTGTGTGAGAGTATGTGTAAGTATGAGTGAGCGTGTGTGTGTGTGTGTGTGTGTGTGTGTGTGTGTGTGTGTGTGGTGGGGTTGAATCTCTCTCTATGCTCTTTCCAGAAATCAGAATCGAATCCCCCAGGGTCAGTGTAATCCCCAGCCTTCTCCGGGCTGTGGTCATCTGAGGCACCTCTGTCCGCCCCCGGTGCTGACCCGTTCACTCTGGCTTTCACAGGCCCTGTGGACCCTCCCAGGCCCTAGGAGTGCTCTCCAGTCCTCGGCACTGCTTGGCTCACCGGCACCCGGGTAGCAGAGCGCAGCTGAGATTCCAGCTGCGTCCAGGAGGTGCCGCTGTCAGGACCCGCCTGGGCTGACGCCGGCCAGGCAGGGCGTTTCGTCAGCCCGGCTCAGGGTGGGGGCGCAGACCCACCGGCAGGGAGGGACCCTCCCTCCCGCCCCAGGCGTCAGAGAAGGCCCTGAGGGCGGGTCAGCCTCGGCCCTGCCCGCGGCCGCTCCCTGCCAGGAGTGACCCTCGATGCAGAGTCAGGCGTGAGCCCTGTAGCGCCAACACTCTTCTTAAAAAAAGAAACAGAAAGAAAGGGGGAGGAAAAGGCCCTGAGGTCGGCGGGGGACGGCGAGGCCAGGCGGGCGCGCGTCACGCAGCCAGCAGGTCCGGGAACTGGTTGATTGTCCCGGGTCTGGAGAACGAGTCTGTGGGGGTGGGGGGCGGGTGGAGGGGAGGGGAGAGAGGGAGGCCCAGTACTGCCCAACGGCTGAGATGAAAGACGCCCCCTGCCCCCCAGGAAGAGGCCCGAGGAGTCTGGACCGTGGGTGTGGGGTCTGAGTGTGTGGATGCGTCCCCCGAACCCGCCCAGCCAGAGCAGGGCACGTGGGTGCCCAGGGAGCCGTGCTCCAGGTGGGGGCTCTGCAGACCCGAGGCTCAGCCCCGAAGCCAGCGGTCCTAGAGGTGCTCCCACCCCCAGCCCCCGTCCAGGCTCTCTGCCCAGAGGGGCGGCCCCTGGTGCAGAGGGAGGGGCTTCAGAACAGTGCCAGGTGTGGGCAATGCCCTGGACTCCATCCCCAGAACCTCATGGTTCAGACCCGAGAGCACTGCCTGGAGTGGGTCCCTCGCCTAGTGTTGGGGGCCGTTGTGCCACTCCTGGCTGTACGCAGGGACGACTCCTGGTTCGGTGCTCAGGAGACTATGGGAGTGTGGGGGGGTCAGACCTGGACGAAGCACCCTTCCTCCTGTACTAAGCCCCCGCAGGAACTTCTTAGGTGAGTTCAGGGCAAGGCCAAAGCCCCCAGTGGGGGTGCGTGCGGCAGCCTTAGCCACGGGCTCCCCCAACATGGGCCCCGGGGGAGCCCCTGAGCTCCACCAGGTGTGGCCCCAAAGCAACAACCCAAAATTCCCCATTTGGGGCATTTACTGCCCGTCTACCTCTCCAGACAGGATCTAAAGCGAGAGGGCCCCCCCAACCCCCTGCACCCCAAGGTGAGGCTGGCCCGGGCAGCAGTGAATGGACCGGGTCTCCAGCACAGCCCTTCCTGCAGCCCGAACTGTGCCAGTTGCCAGGTGGAGAAAGGGGGGCCCAGCCTGGCCATGGGGGTGGGGGCGGCATTGGCTGCTGGACTCCGACCGTCTTTCCGGTCACCTGGGCAGGTGGCGGGATCAAAGGCCAGGGCCTATTTGATCCAACCTGGGGGGAAGAACAGGTTTGTTCCTGCCCGAGATGGGCCGCCAGATTGCGGGGCCCGGCGACGCCCCACTTCCCGGATGGGAACACTGAAGTGCTGCGGGTCACTTTCCCTCCTCGTGCCACGCGCCTCCTTCGCGGCCAGCGAACCTCTCCGGGGTGCGGACGGCAATCGCCCTGGGCACAGGGACCCGTCCTGCCCGCCGCCGCCGCTTCTGCAAGCCCCGAGAGGAGCCCCTCAGTGCGGGGTAAACTGAGGCTGGGGTGGCCCAAACCCCGGAGCCAAGGAGGGCTTGAAATTCTGGATTCGGCAGAGGAAGAGGAGGGCCGGGCTCTCCGCCCGGCGGGTGGGGGTCGCTGCGGAGCGGGGCGGGAGCCCAGGAGGAGCTCGGGGCGCGCGGGGGCCAGCAGCGGACCTGCTGCCGGGCCGGCCACCAGCGTCTGCGCCAACGGGCCCGCCGCGTCCCCGGCCCGGAGCGCGCGATCCCTCCCCACGGCCCCCTCGGCTCGCCCGATCCCTCCCCACGGGCCCCTCGGCTCGCCCGGGGGCGCCTTACCGGGTCGCGGGAGGCGGTGACAGGCGACGCAGCAGGGCCGCTGGCTGCGCGCAGCCCGGGTTATAAGCACCGAGCGGGGGGCCGGTCCGGGGACACGTGGGGGGGGCCCCGCGCGGTCAGGCCCCGCCCCCACCCCGCCGCCCCGCCGCCCCGCGGCCGCGGGGTGGGCGGAGGCCGGACGCCCCGCCCCCTCCCACCCTCGACCCCGCCCCCCGGCCCAGCCGCTCAGCGGCCGCGGCTGCGGGGTGGGTGGAGCCTGAATGCCCCGCCCCTTCCCACCCTCGACCCCGCCCCCGGCCCGGCCGCTCAGCGACCGCGGCCCCGGCTGGTGGGCGGAGCTTGGACGCCTAGGCCCCGCCCCTTCCCCGACCCCATCCCACGCCCCGTCCCAAGGGCCGGCGCACCCTCCCTCCCCAGGGCGCACTTGGCAGGGGGCCCCTGTGGCCGCGCCTCGGAGTGACTGAGCCCTGGGCAGCGGGCAGGAACTGGCTGTCGGGCCCTGGGGGTGCTGGCAAGGCCTCAAAGTCCCTCCTTTACCCCCACGCCAGCCCGCGAGCCGAACTCTTTGGTACAAATGAGAAACCGGAGCTGGAGGCGGCTCCGGAAGGCAGGGTTTCACACTCACAAGCCCCCCACGCCTGCAGGACTCTTCCCCAATAAGACTATTAGACTAGGGACGCGGGAGGGGGATGCTCACGGGTGCAGCTTCTTGCTGGCACCAGAGCAGAAGTCGTGACCCCACTGGGTCTCCAGAAGGCTCTACCTGCCTGCCCCTGCACCCCAGATCAGCTTTCACGCCCCAACCAGTCGGGGCTGCAAACTCGACCCAGTAAAACTGCTGCCAGACAGATCATGGGGCTGCCTCTGGCCCAAGCGAGGGGACTTCTAGAGCCTCGACGTGAACTCTGAGGTAGCCATCTGGTCTGCCCTTCCCCCATCTTGGAGAAGGGGGTTGTTAGCGAGGGTCCTGAGACCCTTCCAGCACTGGGGAGCAGCCAGGGGAAAGCACCCAGCTGCGGGGGTCACTGGGTTTGGGCTTGACCACTCCCCCATCCCCCTCTTGTGTCCCCTCTCTCTCCTTTAGGGGTCAGTTCCCCCCTCTGCAGGGCCTTTATGGAGAGAAAACTCCCCAGAGCCAATGCAAGATCAGGTCGAAGTCCCAGTGCGCTCCTTGGTCTCTGACCCGCAGAAGGGGCCACGAGGGTGGGAGTCCCCTATGAGACCCACAGGGCTGGGCACCTGCAGACATCTTTCTACCAGGAGTTAGTAGGTGTGGTCCCCCTGCCTCTTTGTCCACTCCGAGGCTCCCTCTGGGCCAGGAGCTACTCCCAGTTCAGTGCTCGTATTGCTCCAGGAACCATGCAGTACCAGGGTTCAGTCCCAGACCTCCCATGTGCCACGTGTGCTCTCCAACCCTCAGAGCTAACTCCCAGCCCCTCATGCCTTTTGTTGGTTTGGGGAGGGAGTCCTACTTGGAGTGCTTGGGAGTTACTCCTGGCAGTGCTCTGGGGGACCCAACCCGGGTCTCCCAGATGCAAGCTCCGCTCCTCACCCCATCTCCCTGGCCTTCTTCCTGCCTTCATGCCGGGCTCTCAGGATGCCACTGCCCTTGCAGAAAGCTGGGGAGGTCCAAATAGAAAGGGTGGGGATCCCCCCGTTGGAATTATTACAGAGATGGTGGTGAGGGAAATCATCCTGTTATTCGTCGATTGCCTCGAGCAGGCCCCAGTAACGCCTCCTTCATCCTAGCCCTGAGATTATATTCAAGGCTCTTTAGGAGAATGAGACCCATCGTTGTTACTGGTATTTGGCATATTGGGTACGCCAAGGGGAGTTTGCCAGACTCTACCCTGTGAGGGAAACTGAGGCCGTAAGGCCTGATGTTCCTCCCCCAGCTCTCCAAACTCAGCAGTGACCCCCAAGGAGCCCCATTCCCCAGACTTAGGAAGAGATCGAGGAGGCAGTTGGGGCCTTGCCAGCCTAGTTGGGGTGGGGGAGGCGTGGCGAACGATCAGCATTTCCCCAGACCCCTGGGTGGCCCTGCGCCCTGAGCCCCACCCTTTGCATCTCCTTCAGGGGTTTCTGTTGCCCTGGCTGGAGGTGACCATTCCCGTCAGCCCCGCTTTTCTCCTGAGCACAGAGAGGCGGAGGGGGCACTGGTAGTGGGTGTCCAGGCTCTGTGGCCTCTGCCCACTGCTCTGGCAGGGGGAGCCGAGTGCCCCAGGGCCACGGGCTGGGGGACCTTTACTCCCTGCGGCAGAGATGGCTCCAGCCCAGGGAATTGTCCCTTCCTGACGTACAGCCACTGGGGACAGGAGGGCTGTGAGGTCACAGTTGTCTTGGATGAAAAACAGGGCTACCGGCAGGGCTGCCAGGGCACGATCAAGGTGACAGTGCCACACCTGGATGACCTGTCTTCTGTGGGCACCTGACCCCCAACATCTGCCAAGTGCATGCATCCTGTCCCCCCACATGGGGCGCAGTCAAAGGGGCTCCCTCCCCTGAGACTGTTACATCCTCCCTTGTACCCACACACCACACACCCCGGGGTGGCACCGCTGAAGATGGGGAAACTGAGGCCCTGGAGTCGAGAGTCCGTATCTTTTTTTTTTTAATATTAATTCTGAATTTTATTTTCTCTACTGTTCTATTTTTTTTCTTTTTGGGTCACACCCAGCGATGCACAGGGGTTACTTCTGGTTCATGCACTCAGGAATTACTCCTGGCCGTGCTTGGGGGACCATATGGGATGCTGGGAATCGAACCCGCGTCGGGCCACGTGCAAGGCAAACACCCTACCAGCTGTGCTATCACTCCAGCCCCAAGAGAGTCTGTATCTTCTAACCGTGATCCCGCACAGCCCTTCCTCCTTCTCCCGCGCCCCTACTCTGGCCTGCCACCCCTTTTCCTCGGCTCGGCTTGTAGCAGTGGCCTCCTGGTTCGATTCCTCACTTCCTCCCGTTCTGTCCCGGCCCGGCCAACAGCGACAGCTTCTTGCAAGGTGGCGTCACCGCCCTTCAGGGCCAGGACTCGTTTCTCCTCCTTACCCGCTTCTGGGGCTGGGGGGTGGGGGGGACAGCAGCTGAACACGGTCCCTTCCTGGTGGCGCATGCGCAGACCCATCTGTTAGGAATCAGCGCTAATTCCACGCCACTCGTTGCAGAGAGCGTCAGGTGTCTTTCTTGACGTTTGAGGGCTACACTTGTTATGCTCAGGACTGAGTCCTGGCTCTGGGCTCAGGGATCACTCCTAGTGGGACTTGGGGAACCATCTGGGATGCGGGGGATAAAACCCAGCATGGCCAATGGGCACGGCCAGCGCCTTCCCCGCTGTGCTCTCTCTCCGGCCACTGGAGCAAGCCTCGAAGTCAGGCATCTTCCAAACGTTCTCTGCTTCCAAGCTGTATCGGAGCAGGTCCAGCTCCTTTGGTTTCTGTATCAATTGTAACAGCAGTTAGTTACTTTGTATAAAAAGCCTGTTGGGATTGACGTTACAATAAATCTCTACATCAGGGAGTTGGGAAGGGAGACAACACAGAGTTCTTTCGTCTCTGAGCATGCTAAAGTCTTTGTTTTTATCTTCTTAACATTTCCATCATTAAAAAAAGGGGGGGCTGAAGCGATAGCACAGCGGGTAGGGCGTTTGCCTTGCATGTGGCTGACCCGGGTTCGATTCCTGACATCCTATATGGTCCCCTGAGCACCGCCAGGAATAATTCCTGAGTTCAGAGTCAGGAGTAACCCCTGAGTATCAACGGTGTGACCCAAAAAGCAAAAAAAAAAAAAAGAACACCTGGGGGGCTGGAGTGATAGTACAGTAGGGAGGGCATTGTCTTGCATGCGGCTAACCCAGGTTCGATCCCTGGTACCCCATGTGGTGCCTGGAGCTCACCAGGGGTGATCTCTGAGCACAGAGCCAGGAGTAAACCCTGAGCACCCCTGAGTGTGGCCCCCAAACAAAAACAAACAAACAAACAAAAAACAAGCAAACATCTTCAAACTTTTTATTCAAGGCCTGGAGAGATTATCTGTAAGATTTACTCTGACCGAATGCTTCTGGCTGATGAAATAGCGACACATAATAGCGACACGTTCCCAGAATCAAGGATCATCTGGGCATCCCCAGCCTGCTACCCCCAGGCTGCAGTCCATGTTTCCTTACAAGGGTACCACCCCCACTGGTCTCTGTTCTTCCCCCCCTCCCCCCCACCCCCGCCCAAGTCAACTTAAAATCCTGCTTAGGGCTCAGCTCTAGCCCAGACTCACCAGAGATCGCAGGGTCTGCCCAGGGGCGCACCCCGATAATTTCTCCTGTTTCTTCGCTTTACCTGTCTCTGACCTTCTGTTTGTGCGGGGTGAAGTCTACGACTTTTCACTATCTCAAGGGGCTGGAGTAAGGCTTGTCTTCCAGGAAGCCCAGGTTTGATCCCTGACACCTCCTGGTTCCCTGAGCACTGCCAAGAGTTCCCTCCAACCGAGTCAAGGGTAGCTCCTGAGCACTGCTGGGTGGGTAGCCCCAAACCCAAACCAAATCCCAAATCAAAATACCACAAAAAGGCCATTTCTTCAAAAGCATTAATTGCTAATTCCATGAGCTATGACTAAGAAACTCAAACCTGTTCACCTGTCGAGGCTACATTTCGGGGGTGGGAGGGTGTTCATTTGTAGGGGCTTCAACTTTGTTTTGTGCGGGGAGGCCACAACTAGCGGTGTTCAGGGCTGACTCCTAATTCTGTGCTCAGGGATGACTCCTGGCAGGGCTCAGGGGACCATATTTGGTGCTGGGGATAGAACCTGGGTTGGCTGTGTGCAAGGCAAGTGCCCTACCTCACCTCTTGCTCCAGCCCTCAACTTTTCTCTTAAATCTGAGCTGTATCTCCGAGGAAGTGTTGCAATACTAGTGCCCAGACATCTGTGGAACTTCTTTACTGGATATGAAATCCCAAATGAGAATTTTTTTTTTCAGTACTGCCTAAGAAACCCAAGACATCACACATAAAAGACAAGTTTTCTACCACTGAGTCGCATCCCCAGCTTGAGAACATTTTTAGGGTCTAGATTTACAGCAGAGCCATAGA